GTATACAAACTAACTGTATACAAACTAACTGTATATGAACGACCTGTATATAAACTAACTGTATACAAACTAACTGTATACAGTATATAAACTAACTTCATACAGACTAACTGTATACAGACTAACTCCTGTAATTCCTGTAAACACAATAACTGATAACATAACAGGTTACATAACATTACATGTCACTCAGTCCGTTACACTACCCTCCCACCACAAAGTCCCTCGCCCCCGAGGGGTCAAACAAAGTCTCTCAGGTGGCCAGGGGGCCTTTGGTTCCTCTGACGACGCCGTCGGCCTTGGGGAGAAGGAAAAGAGGTCGAGGGGCTGCTGGGGCCAAGGGATGGGGAGGGATGGGTTGGGCCAGTCCAGTCTGTGAAGGGCTGGGCGAGACACTGGGGTTATTGGGAAGGGTTTGGAGGGTAGTCCGGGCAGAGTCCAGGGTTCCCCGTGCCCCGGTAGTGGGCCAGCCTGTCTCTGTGCAGGGCGAATGTTCTTCCTCGTGGTGGCAGCTGGACCCTGTACACTACCTCTCCAAGTCTCTCCAGGACTCGGCCCGGACGAGTCCCACCCACTCACTATCCAGCTCTGGGCACCTGCCCTTCTTGCTTTGTGGGATATACACCCAGACACTTAGTCTGTATACAGACTAAGTGTATACAGATATAGATGTATACTGTATATACTGTATATATATATATATACAATATACTGTATATATATTATATCGTATGGGTTGTTCTTTCTCTGTTGATGCTCTTCCTTAAGTTTTCTGTCATGAACATGTTTGGTCATTGGTCCTCTCAGACTGTAACGTGTCCAGCAGGTTAACAGAAGACAGTTCTGTCTGTCTGTCTGTCTGTCTGTGAGACGGTGCAGCTGAGTGACAGACACACAAACAGCTTCAATAAGAGACGGAGAGATGGAGACTTGATAAGTTGCCTCTGTCAGCCGGATGCTCCAACAATTTCCTGTTTAACAGGAAATGAAAGAGCAGCGAGACGGCAGGAGAAGCTTTGTTCTCTCTGATGGAGCTTTATGAACAGATAGCAGGTGATACCTTCGTCTTCCTCCTCTTCCTCCTCCTCGCTCTCCTTTCAACGCCAAATGTCTCCCGTCAAAGGAGGAAGAGGAGGAAGGGAGGCCGACTCGTCGTCACATTAAAGCAGCTGAAGTGACATTTGGAGCCGAGCAGCTCTCGAGTCAGTCTGACATTTAAATCATGTTTCAGATGTTCAGAATGTGTATAAATATACAAATATATCGATTTATATTGTTGACATACATATATATGTAAATATATATAATTGTATTGTTGATATACATATATATGTAAATATATAAGTATATTGTTGATATACATGTATATGTAAATAAATAAGTATATTGTTGATATACATGTATATGTAAATATATATAATTGTATTGTTGATAAACATATATATGTAAATAAATAAGTATATTGTTGATATACATGTATATGTAAATATATATAATTGTATTGTTGATATACATATGTAAATATATAAATATGTTAATATACAGTACATACATATGTAAATATGAGTGCTGGGCAAGTTAACGCGTTATCGGATTAACACATTAATTAATTAACGCTGACAATTGGTCTTGGCCCACCTCTGACCGCAGGTGAAATCCTCACTGGACCCTCTGCAATTTGCATACCAGCCTCATGTCAGGGTGGACGACGCCATCATCTACCTGCTGCAACGAGCTCAGTCGCACCTGGATGGAACGGTGGCTCTGTGAGAATCACTTTCTTTGATTTCAGTGCATTCAACACCATCCAACCAGTGCTGCTGAGGGAGAAGCTGCGGGTGGTGGGGGTTAACGCATCCACCGTCTCCTGGATCACTGACTACCTCACAGGCAGAGCACAGTTTGTCCAACTGGGCCGTGTGCTGTCTGATACGGTGGTCAGTGATACTGGAGCCCCACAGGGAACTGTTCTGTCTCCCTTCCTGTTCACCTTGTACACCACTGACTTCCAGTACAACTCTGTGTCATGCCATCTGCAGAAGTTCTCTGATGACTCTGCAGTGGTCGGGTGTATAAGGGACGGATGGGAGGAGTACAGGGCAGTAGCGGAGGACTTTGTGGAGTGGGCGGGTAGAAATCACCTGCGTCTGAACGTGGCCAAGACCAGAGAGATGGTGGTCGACTTCAGGAGGAAGACGACGGCTCCACAACCGCTGAGAGTTCTGGGAGAGGATGTGGACATGGTGGAGGAGTACAAGTACCTGAGTGTCTCCATCGACAGCAGACTGAACTGGAAGACCAACATCAATGCTGTGTACAAGAAGGGGATGAGTCGACTCTTTTTCTTGAGGAAACTTCGATCCTTCAATGTGTGCAGCAAGATGCTGGAGATGTTCTACCAGTCTGTTGTGGCCAGTGCACTTTACTTCTGTAGTCTGCTGGGGGAGCAGCATTGGAGCCGGAGACACCAACAGACTTAACAAACTGGTTAAGAAGGCCGGCTCCATCATTGGCTGCAAACTGGACAATCTGGAAGAGGTGGTGGAGAGGACACTGAAGAAACTATTATCCATATTGGATAACCCGGACCACCCTCTCCACCACCTCCTGCAGGGACAGACTGATCCAGCTCCGCTGTCACAAGGACTGATACAGGAGAACATTCCTGCTCTCTGCTATAAGACTTTATAACAAATCACCTCTGGCCAGATCATCCAGAAGACTATAACACTGCTACACTGCTGTTGGCGATCTTGTGCACTACTGTTTAGTTTATTTGTTCCTACTTAGTTAAGTTAATACTATTCTAGTGTATATACTGTGCATTTTTATTACTTTATTTACTTAAATTTAATTGGTCCTGCTCTGTTATTTTATTGTATTTTAATATATTGAGCATTTTCCATACTTAATATTTTTATTTTATAACTTCATTGCTGCTGCTACAGACACATTTCCCCTTGGGGATGAATAAAGTATATATCTAATCTAATCTAAATACCACACATATTACGGTAATCAGCGTTGCATGTGTCTGACCAAAATACCACAAAAAGCAAAAAATAAATGATTTATTTAAATTATGTTTTTAGAGTTTTTAAAGTGTTTTGTTTGTAATGTGTATAATAAGCATCATTTAGTATCACTACTGAGAATTTAACAAACATAAAAACATGATGTAGATAGGTTTGCAGTTTTCAAGAAGTATATTTAAATATCATCTCTTACACACATGAAGATAAAGTTATGAACACCGGCTGAATATCTATGATCAGAATCATTATAACTGTGTTATAACTACTGCTGTGTAAAGGGAATACTGCTGCTAACAAGAACCTGATGTGTTTAAAGTGTTTACACCAAATGTTATTGACCTGTTGTTCATATAGCAGCACTTTAAAATAAAAGTGCACAATACGCTACTTTTGAATTCACTATTGAACTTTGCCATAACAATGAGATTAATCGTGATTAAACATTGTAATCGTTGCCCAGCACTAGTAAATATATATATATATTGCTGACATACATATATATGTAAATATATAATTATATTGTTGACATGAGATATATATGTATAGATTTTTATTTTAAAGAAAACTTGATTAATTTGTCATCTATAATAAAAGTATGGAATGCAGTGAAACACATCAGAGATTTGATTGTGTTGCTTTTGAAGGAACACTGATATTTGTGGAGATAAACATTTGTTTCGATTCCTTTTTCTGCTCCTTCACATTAAAACACTGGGCTTATATTGTGAAGGAGCCACAGGAAACTCAATGTAAACTGACTCCAGCTGCACAGATGAACTGCTGTTTACTGAGAATACACATATACACGTGTGTATATACATATATGTGTGTGTGTGTGTTGAACCAGGTTCACTTCCTCTCAGAGTGAGTAAACAGGCCGCTCCGTCGTATAAAAACACAGATCTACATGTCAATGACTTCACAGGAACGTCTTCTTTTATTCCTCGTTAGATGATTGATACTGAAGGAGGTTAAAGACACAAGAGTTTGTCCATGTTTGTCTTTGACGAGTTCACTGTGAGGAGAAAAAACACCACGATGCCTCTAAAGATCCATTCAGAACTCCTGCTGCTCCTCCTGTCATTTAAAGAGACAGCAGTGATGGTCCACAGCTTTACTACAGGAGGAGGAGCTTCAATAACAGTTTTTATGAATTGAGTCTGGTGTGAAGAGAACATGGATAACAGATAATATCAGAAAGGTAAAGAGATCTTCTGAAT